GACTAATCCCAGAAACCAGACAGAATGCTTCTTAAAAATTACAGCTGGCGCTTAACTTTTTAAGTGTTTTTCTAGTTGTCAATGGAGGCTCCTAAGAAATTCCTGCTGGCTCCTGGACTGAACAGACTGCCTCCTAAAGTCCATTTTAATTTGCTGCCACCCAAATTACCCCCCCATTATGTCCTGCATATTGGAAACAATTGGACATGGAAAAACCTTTGTCACTTCGATAGGAATACTTGATACTCAACCCTTAAAGTAATATTAAACACTCAAACCTTTTTTCAATAATGGATCCAGATCAAACAAATATACATTGCCCAGCAAAACATTGCTTTACATTTTTGCCCAAACACTTACAATCATCATGTTTCTGAACAGCTGCTTCCAAGTTTCTCCGCTTCCCTGAACTTCCTGTCCAGTACAAGATCATAAAGGACAGAGCAGACTCCAGCAACTGTTCATCTACTAGCTTGGAGAGCAAGGAGAGCGAAGTAGCTTGATTTGCTGTGTCTGTGTGCTTGTGGAGAAACACACAGTTTACTTGCACACACGGGTGACTGCATAGCACTCTGCTTGAGAAAGGAGGAACTCTAAACCAGTACTCAGGAGACAAGCTAATTCTGCAGGAAACAAACTTTTAAACATTGGGGAGCAGCATCCATTGTAAGTGATTTCATCAGCATTTAAAATAGCTTAAAAGGAGAACTATGGGGTTAAGGCTTTTCCCCATAGTTCTCCTTAGGGTAACGGGAGGACACAAACTAGCGTCCTCCTGTCACCCTAAGCTCAGTATACCGCGAGTTACTGCTCGCGGTATACTGAGACGCCGCAGCTGAAGCGGATCCCGACAATTATGAGTGACAGCTGGCTCTGGCTATCTAGAGGCAGAGCCAGCTGTACCCGCCCCTCCCCCGTCCGATGCACAAGTCAGCGCTGGCAGATCGGAGTGGGGAGGGGGGAATCCAGCCCCTCCCCTGTCACAGTAGAGGGCTGCGAGAAGTGAGCGAACGCCGGTATGTGTTCACTCACTTCCCGATCTACTGAGCCGACCTGTGACAGTCTCATTGTCACAGGTCGGCTAGAACTATGAGGTGAGTGAAAAGCACTCACCTCATAGTTCTCCTTTAAAATCCTTTTGAGTTTAATATCACTTTAACTTCACTGTCCCCTTTTCCTTTAGACCTTGCTACAGTGTCAGTTGCAGAAATTATAAGACAACCACAGTTGATTAAAGGAGTGCAGGTGGGCTCACTGGAGGAGTGCCCCTGTGTGTGGATGATCTGTTATTTTATGGAACAGATCCACAACATGCAATAGAAGAATTCTCAGGATTTTGGTTCATATTCTGATTTCAAAGTTAGAGTAAGTCTGTTTTCTCAATAGAAAACAATACTAATTTGGGGTTGCATAATTTCTGCCCTCTAGCACTTACTGATACATTTAAATACCCACGAGTGGAAATCCAATTGCCTCCATTGAAATACACTGAAAATTACTTGCTTCCGATTATTGTAGCATTTAAAAATAGGGCATCAGTCTGGTTAGGACTTCCACTCACTCTCCTAGGGAGAATCAACTTGTAATCAATTGTATTCCTCTCAAATGTTTTCTACAATTCTTCAATTTACTTTCCCAAGTGTATTTTCAAGAAATTAACACCCAGCCCTGCTCCTTCCTTTGACATCCAAAGCAGTGTCTGTGCCTAGTCCCATGCTCCACTCAGACTGTCTCTCCAAACAATCCTATTTGGTTCAATCCACAACACCCACATTTTCTCCTGTTCCTTCTGGTCTCCAATGGGCTCAGATGAGATTAAAGTATGTGCATCAATTGTACCTCCTGGGCTCCCTTCAATCCTCCTCTACTCTGAAACAGGAGCTAGGAGTGCACTTTAAATATATCTAACTCAGGCACATGGCTGAAGCACAATTTGGGTTGTATGTGGTACCGTCAACCCTCCGCACTGGAAAATGTCCTTCTCCAACCCATTCATTCACAGGTAGTTACTGTATCAGACTCTTTTGCAAGGAAAACCTTTCAAGTTATCCCAACTTTACAAACAATGGTACAAGGATAAAGCTGATATATCTTAGCAAGGATAAGAGGAGTTCACTGATTCTTATTTCAATACAGTTATCTCTATAAGGAATAAGCTAATTTAACTACAGAATTTTCACAGTGCTTACTTTACCCCTGTTCACTTTCTTTAAAATGCATAACAGAATCGCTCACCTGCCATAAATGTCCATATACTGTAATTTAGGACTGTACTAAAATGAGACTCTTATGGTCAAAAATCACTTGTCTTATTTCTCAGAATTTTGCCATTCCCAAGATATGTAGTCCAGAGTTGTGCCTCCTTAGTATTTTGGGGAACTAGGCCAAAACACCTTTCTACATCCGTTACTCTTTTAAACACGAAAAATTATGGTCTTCAAATGGGTATCCACTGCAACTCTAAAAAGAGACTGGTCAACAAGGTAATACCATTATATAAAATAACTAATGAGGTCAGGGGTTGTCCCATTAAGTTTGACAAGATATGGGGGGAATCGGTAGCTTTACCCAATTCCTGTACACAACTGACTTCTACTTGATATCTTGTGTGTAATCTGCCAACCCCCATATTGCCTTGTATACCTGTAGCCTAATTGCCTCTAAAGTCTGGTATTTATTATTTAAAAAAACACACCACCACTCTATGTATTAAAATTCCTTTACGCCAGACTCACACCTGTGCGATCCGTGCACGATACAGCGCCGATTGCCGTGCGGTCATGGAGTTGCCCGCCACCGCCGATCGCGCTGGTGGTGAAATTATTTTCTAATGGCACCTCAGTCGCGGCGGGCTGATTGCGCGATTTCCCGCCGCAATTCTGCCCCGCGTAATCTAACATGACCGTCGCAAAGAAAAGGTACATGCACCTTTTTTTCTGCGATTGCCGCGCCTCTACCACCAGCTGAGCTGATGCAGAAAATGAAGGCATCAGCATAATGCTGGTGGTGGTGATCGGTGTGCTCCTTAGGATGATCAAAACATTTTTGAGGTAGCAAAGTACTTAAACATAGCAGTTAAGTGCATTTAGGTAACAGCCTTTTTGTAAATGCTATTTACAATTTCTTTAAATAGATGTATAAACTAATGTATACAATTTTGCTTGTATGTATACAATCCTTATTATCACAAATGAGGATTTAATGCAGGATGTGTGTAGAGTATCTGCCAGTCGGCCTAATAAGAAAGCCCAGCACTAGCTATGCACTTATTGATTTTACTTTTAGACTATCTCCACCAGAAAAGAAGGTGTAGAGGGGGTGTGCCCCTTCCGAGTCATTATGCTCACTAAAGCTGGCCAGATTCCCCCATCTACGCTAAACTGTGTGGATGGAGGAATCTCCCACTGGGCCAAGCTTCAGTATCTTGCTAGTCGGCCCCACTGGCTCTCAAAATACCTGAACAATGCTTGCACCCAATCAGATTGTTCAGATATTTTGACAGCCAGCTGGGCCGACTAGCAAGATACTGAAGCTTAGCTCAGTGGGAGATTCCTCCATTCACACAGTTTAGTATAGATGGATGAATCTGTTGCACTTTTTTCATCTAACCCCCTCTGTGAAGTCAGGCACTGGGTCACTGACCGAGAGCCCGACAGTGTCAGGAGAGAGGAGGGGACCCAGGGGCATACCTCATCCCGCCGGGTGAACGTCCCCTCCTCTCTCTGCCCGGCGTCCATCACCAATATGGCCGCCGGCAGGCGTCAATAAGATGACCGCGCATGCGCGATGACATCACAGCTGGGGTGTCACCCGGGCCTCGGGACGCCCCTGGCTGTATGGCCAGCTTTATTCTTGCTGTTTGTGTGGTTAACCCTGCTATCCAGCTCTGTACAGCACAGCAGTAAGCCAGCTGAAACACTGAAGCACAAGACTCACTCTAGCACCTGCTGGTTGCAGACAGGTAAATATTACAGAAATATAACAATTTAAAAAGTGTTTTTACTAAACGTAATACAAGGTTATTTTTTTTAGTGTTGGAGAGAGTTAAAGAGTTAGAACCAGTGACAGGTTTGTATTGCTGTCTATTTGTCCTGGTCATCATTGTGAGAAAAACTGAAATTTATGGAAATTCCCAACATTTTACAGTCATTGCCAAAAAAAAGAGATGTACACCTTTTACTGGGAACACCAGTTCATCTGGCAACTGTGTATGAGAGGAATTCTTCTCACTTTGGAGAGAAAATCAATAACATCCTATTTCATCCTCAGGACAGAAAGTAAAGGCTCTCACCTATAGGACAGAGGCAGCAAAAAATAACCTGACAGGGGTTTTAACCCTTCCTTACTCTAACAAAAACTAAAAAAAAGTCTAAACATACACTTTAAGTATATGGAAGAAACACCATCTTTTCCCTTAAAATACCATCATACATTCCAAATGAAATTTAAACAGGCCTAAGAGCCCATTCACACCAGGGCGGCTGCGGAGCAGCGCGGTTTCTGCGCTGATTTCAAAATTGTATTTCAGCGCGGCTGCGGACCAGCACGGTTGCATTGAAAGCTGTATGGAACCCACACTGATCAGCGCAGCAAAAAAGGGTCAGGGGGCAGTTTGGGCGGGGAGCGGTTCTGATCGCGCTGAGCTGATCGGTCGCACGAACAGTCCTCATAGCAATGTATGCGATTGTTCATGTCGGCGGATCCGTGTGGCCAAATCCGCCCCAGTGTGAACAGGGCCTAAAAGTATGCAAAGCAGGCTTATGATTTAGATATGGCTTAAAAAAAAAAAAAATCTAAAGAATATTGGCATTGCTTACAGAAGGGATATGAGACTCCCATCACTGTTATAGGCTAAAAGCTGAACAATCTATGCACAAAAACTTTACTTCTCCTGTCTAGGTAAATGGATCTGTGTAAAACAGATGTAAAATAGGGCCGTGCTGCAGAAATGAATATAGCAAAATTAAATTTACAAAACTATAGCTGTTGTGGTTACCGACCTTTACAGTAATCAGCCGGATCTTCTTGTTCCTCATCGTCTGATCCCAAAATCTCCTCCTCGGGCTCTGGAGGAGCTGGTTCAGGTATAGGAGGAGGTGGTGGGGGAGGTGGAGGGACTGATGGTGCTTTCTGCTGAGCCTCCGGCCTGGAATATAAAAAGATTCCCTTAATTCACAACGGATATTTTATAAGCAGTAAAACTGGTTATAAAAGGTGGATGGCAATCTTTTTCAATACCAAAGTTATTATTAACCACTTCAGAACCGCAGCCATTTTTCACACGTTTAAATCTGATTTTTTAAAATATAAATTTAATTTAAACCCCCAAATATATATTTTCTCAAAGCAGAGGCCCTGCTGCACAATATTTATGCAACTATTTATCAAATTGATATTGGTACAAAAGAAATACACTAAAATGTAATTTAGGGCACACAAAGAATAGAATACTCATTTCTTTGGTACAGTATAAAAGATGGGGTCTTGTCGAGTAATTAGATACCAAACGTGAAGTCTTAAAATTGCATGTGCTTGTGAAATGGTGAAAAGGCATGGTTCAATATTGTTCATAGGCAATGCTTAAAATGCATCTACTGCTTATCATTTAGAGATAACAAAAATGAAACCCTAGAATTACTGCTGTCACTTTAATGTTCGAGGCAAAAGCTAAAGTGTGGCGCAGTCAATGTTTTCATACATGGGTGTGCCCTATGCACCTGTGGGAAGTGAGGGTGCATGAGATTACTTTTATTTTTGATATACAATATTAGATTGTTATAATCTGTTGCACTTTTTCCATCTGAACATAGAAAATCTGCAGATAATCTATAGGTGTATGGCCAGTTTAGGGCCTATTCACACCATGTCCCGGATCAGATGTGGTACGTTACATTTTTCTTTTGCACCAAAAAATGCATCCCAATGCATTTATATGTGATTTTATGGGGCTCTGTTCACACCAGTCCAGTCCGTTCCAGTGCAAGAAAAAAAAATGCTGCATGTCAAAGTTTTCCTGCAGTGGAACGCATCACAAATGCACTGCACCAGAACGCAATAGAAGCTATGACATGGAGCAGGAAGAAATGAATTTGCATAATGACATTACCCCCACCCAAAAATAAAAATGCACTGGAACGCGTCACAAACGCACCACGTTTGCAGAAACGCGTGCAGATCTGGTCCAAACATGGTGTGACAGGGCCCTGAAGAAGCCGGCTCGGATGGTCTGGTGAGCATAACTTTTTTTTTTTAGCACCTAGACACAAATGAGCACTTATCCCTTGCAGTGCGAGGGTACCCCACCGCAAGGGTTAATCATTTTTTTCTCCTTCTTAAAAGATTATATATTTTAGTGATTTGATTTACTTTATAATCAATTAAGAAATTGATAACATGAAAAACATACTAATATGACAATATGGTTCCATTTTACCGTTCACTGACAACATGCTGCACAGATTTTGTTCCGACGCGTTCAGTACATCAGCTGCACCTTATTTGCATGTGACATGGTGTGACATGGTGGCTGGTCACATGGCTCCATTTACTATTCTCGTTAATGTTTATTTTCCATTGTTTATCCAGTATTTCCCTATGAAGTGACAATGTAATTTGTGTCCATTTTGTTCATGCGCTTGTGATGCAACCTGTTGCTACACTAATCCTCTGAGCACCACAGGAAAATGGGTATTATTCATAAAGATAACACAACATGCAGAAGAAGAGGATCATTAAAGCAGGACTTCTTTAGATTCTAGCGCTTTTTCCATCTTCACTAAATGTGTTTATCATAACAAAGATCGCCCTTGCTGCAAATAACAAAACACACCACTATGATTACACAATCTCCCAATTCACCTAGCATTAACCTATATCTCAGCAGACACCGATCTTACAGAGGAAATGTCGCCTTATAAAGTTTTCTTTGATTCTAATGTGAATAAATCAGCCTCATGTAAATGATATGAATTTATGTTAATAATGTGTTTACAAATCCTTGTTACTATTAATAACTTGCAACTATAAACGTGAAAGTGGATTGCCATATTTTCTTCTAACAAATGTAGGCTCTACTTCCTGGTTCTGCCTTGCCAGTCACCTCACTGCAAGTCTGCCAGACATGGTTTGTCTGATTGAGAAAATCTGCAGTCTCTAATAGTGTGAAACAGTCACAAAGCTCCAGGAAACAGAAACCATATGATAATGTGCCTAGTGACATGAGGGAGTTCAGGGGTAGCATTCAATTCATGGCAAGAAAGAGAATATATTAAAGGAGAACTATGAGATGAGTGATTTCCACTCACCTCATAGTTCTAGTCGACCTGTGACAATGAGACTGTCACATGTCGGCTCAGTAGATCGGGAGGTGAGCGAACACATACCAGGTTCGCTCACCTCTCG